AGAATTTAATTTCTTTACCTAAGGGGACATCCTTCGAAGGCAACATTGGTGCAGTTAATGCCAAATCTTTTCTTCCTGTCTCCTCCTTTTCTTCTCCTCCTCAGAGAAGAAAATAAGAGTTAGCTCTGACTTGGACCAACAGCTCTGGCTTGTCCCCTCAAAGTCTCCACTCTGGAAGGGAGAAGTTATTCATCCACCTCAAGCAGCAGCTGGCACACACTCATGAAAGTAGAAAACAACAATAGCAGACTAGTCCCCAGGATCAAGACTCTCCTCTATAATGAGGTTTTCAAGGGAAATATCATATTGACAGAATTAACAAGGCTGCTTGTTTCAGGTAGCAGAAGTCAGTCATTTCTCAGTGAAAATAAAAAAGCACATTTGATTCATCTCCCTTATTTAGCAAAGGGAGTTCTGCTACAAGTTACTATTCTTTTTTAAAGTTACCTCGACAGAATGCAGCAGGATTAGCCTAAAAAGTAAGCTCTGGTATCTAAGAATAGCTGCAGATGATAAGGAAATTGTTAGACATAGCAAGCATCTCTCTACTAACCTGAATGAACAAAAGTGAACTGGGCTCTAAAACCTCTGAAGCTGTTCTCCCCATCACTTTCAAAATGTACCAACATGGTATTTCCTGAACTTGGCCTCGGCTTGGGAGCTGAGAATTCACAGAGATTAGCAGTGGGAGTGAACAAGAATCTGTACTTTTAGGATGTCGTCCTGTAAGGGCTTGTGGCTTTAGCTAATCTAGGCTTCTAAAAAAACAAACCATAAAGACTTGATGACTTTCTAATGAGAATAAGAACTTTTGATCTAACTTTTGCCCACAAAACAATGATAATCAGTGATATCAGTAAGCAATAGCAAGCAATAGCAGCCAGAATTAATCTACTGTAGTTACGCTACATGAACGTGAGAGTAATCCTAATTTTCTCATAGTGGAATTACAAGTAATCTTCAACAGACAGTTTGAATGCTCTCCATAGCATAAACCAAAACTCCAAACCACCAAACCATACCTGATAATTGTATCTGCCACCACTGAGGTCTGCAAGCAAAGTCTCTCTTGAATGGTCTATGTACAGGTTGAGGTCCTAGAGAGCAGCTCCTAGACTTTTCTTCCTGTTGAGAGCATTCCGTTTACATAGCAACTGGAAGGCCCATAACTGCAGTTGGATAGGAAGCTTGAACTTTACTCCAGATGAGCTTTCCTGTAAGAATCTGAATTTTTTATGGCAAAGCTGTTCTGGAAAGCATCGAGTGGAACTCTCCAGGATGCTGAAAGCTCTGCCCTGAAAGATTCCAGACCCAAATTTTCAGCCTTCTTCCTCCTGCTTAAATACTCTTTTCCAATGGAAACCAGATTTCTTTTCATGAACTGCAGTGTTAATACTTATGCAGCATTTGGTAAACACATGCGACTAAATTACCACCACAAAATAGATGGGGAAAAAATAGAAGCATTTGCCAAAAGATCACTTGTCAATGACAAACCCTGAACAACTCAAGCCTCTTACCCATATTCCTTAGTGCCAAGAAAATAGTGCCAGCCCCTGACCATTCTACTGTCTTTTGGTTGACATAGAGGTCTGTAAAGAAGCAGCTAGAATTCAATCAAATATCTTCCCTTCTAAGCACCAGATTGCTTTTCACTTTAAGAATAAATATCAAGCTCTGCAAAAGTGAGCACGGTGTCTGGAAGCTGTTTTTTTGAAAATGACAGGCTGTTACGAAGTGGTTTTTTTTTTTTTTTCATCCAGGTAGGGATAACATCTGGAAACACAGAAATTTAAAAAAAAAAAAAAAAGGAAAGTTAAAAACATTTCTTTCACTAAAGTTAAAGATTTTTATATTGATGAAACTGAAGCAGATTTAAAGTGAGAAATTAAAAAATATTTGCTTCTGAAAGTGTGGGAAAGAGATGCCTCAGGTTAGCAATTTTTCATTAATGAATTTCCAACAGTACTTGTTCAAGGTATTAAGAATTCACATCCATTTCAGTAGAATTAAACATGCACCAACAACTGTTCTTTCACTCTGCCTTACTTTGAACATTTGTCTTTTATAATGACACTTAGAGCCAAGTTGCTCTTGCTCTCTTCTTTGGGAGAGTGATGAAGAGCAGAGGCCAGATCCAGCAGCACACACTTGTGCACTCCACTGTCTCTGCAGCAGAACATGAGCCATGGTCTTATATTCAGCCCTGCAACAGCAGCAAGACTTTGGACCAGGATATGGGATCTCCTGTGCCAATGGCGTGTTTGGCCATCATGATGGGCAAGACAGATGGGCCTCAAAGCTACTGCAGAAGCCCTTTCAGAGGTACCAAATACCATGTTACCAGAGAGAGCATATTTTGCTGATAAAACATGCCTGTTTCCACAGGATTTCTAATTTAAATCTGAAACAATTAGCACTCACACAGCTGTTTTTTTCCTTCATCACCATAAATAGTAACTGCATCATAAATGCAGCCTGGGCTAAGCCCCATGGCAAAGTCTTCAAACTCCAGCTGCAAAGTGGAAAAACAAGAGGGAATCATCAAGATTGAAATAAACTTCTGAACCTCTGGAGAAAAGCTAGATTTTGGGAATTCTAGGAAGAATTTGGGCATGACTTCCCTTGGTGAACGTGTCAGGTTTTGCATCAAAAGAGTCTGTAGGGAATCTTGGCCTGACTGCTCCTTCCTGTGTGGGGCTACCAACAGGTCTGCAGAGGATGAAGGTGGCCTAAACTTTGTCTTAAGGCATTTCAGCTGTCATCTTTACTGCAGCACTCAATGTCTTGTACTTCTGAAAGGACTGTGCCCCATATGGATTGCCCTTTCAAGAGCTTTTCCTTCAAGCATGGGAAGTGGGTGATTTTTCATTTGTTTTGTTTTTCATCCAGACTGCAAGTTCTCACACCAGCAGAGCAGCAGCAAACCAAGCAACAGGTCTGCATATCCTCAGTCATCCATAGGTTTAACACTGTGTCATGGTTTAACCACAGTTGACATCTAAGAACCATGGAGTCACGTGCTCACATTCTCATCCCTCCTCACTCCTGGTGGGATGAGGAAGAGAATTGCTAAAAATAAAGATAAAACCTGTAGGCTTAAGAACAGTTTAACAGTTGAAATAAAAATAATAATAATAATAATAATAATAATATCAATAATAATTGCAATGAAATGGGAGACAGCAAAAAGAGACAGAGAGGAGTAAAACTCCAGACAGACAAGTGATGCATAATGCAATTGTTCACCACCCACTGACCGATGCCCAGCCCATTTCCCAGCACTGCTCTGTGGCTCCCAGCCAACACCCCCCCAGTTTATACACCGGGTTCAACATTCTATGATATGGAATATCCCTTTGGTCAGTTCACATCAGCTGTCCTGGCCACGCTCCCTGACACCTTCTGGTGCATATCCTCATTGGTAGAGCATGACAGGGTAAGCACTACTTTAGCAACAACTAAGACATCAGTGTGTTATCAACACTATTCACATAATAAACCCAAAACACAGCACCAACTGCTGGAAGGAAATTAACTCTATCCTAGACAAAACCAGGACAAAAACAGGACACACTGTTTTCCACCTCTTAGCCAAGGCAACAGGGGAGGAGAGATGTTTCTGCTTTAAACAATGTAGGTGGCAACAGAACTCATCCTAAGCTTGGTGGGATGCTTGCTGCACACAAGATGCAGCAGGCAATAAAAAATAAGAGGTGCTGGTAGTAGGAATGAGGACTATTATCAGACAGCCCATGCACAATGAGAAGCAGACACTTTGGTATGGACTAAGGAGTAGCTTGTGGGGGAGGTTGACACTGCCTTGAGAAAAGAGCTGACTCTCTTGTTTGCAACATGCTCTCTGCCTTCCCTTTGTCCTCAAATCTGTGCTGGACTTCAAGATAAAGCTATCCTGGGATGAGGCTGGTGCCTATAGATTTCAAGCCCTTACAACAGTCACAGCCCCTTCACACAGGAGTTCAGAGGTGATGTCTAATTGACAAAATATGCCCTGCAAAGAATCAGTGACCTGGAAACTACAATTTGCAGTCTCGTGCGTCACAGATGTTTCTGGCAGGATTTTATTGAATTGCTCCCCTGAACAGTTCTCAGTGCAGAGGTTTAAGAGCAGTTTCTCTTTTTATTACCTTTACGACATACTCTGCTGGACCTTCAATGAGCCAGTGGCACTTCATGTCCCTGGGATACAAGCCAGGCTAATTAGCAGTATCAATCTTCCCCTCTTCCACTAACACTGCGACACTGCCACAGCCGGAGCCTGCAGTACTCAGATGGGAAAGGAGACAATTTAACACATGGGATTAGACAGTACTTTCAATAAACACAAATCAACAACTTGATTTTTAAAGAAACCAGGCACACTAAGGGTAGTTGTTATTTTAAAGGGGTCAGGAAGGAGAGGAAAGGAATTTCTAACAGCATCAGCAAGATCACTTGCTTCAGAGTCCTTAGGGATGGCCATGAAGGCGAGCCCACAGCCACAGCCAGCATTGCTCCCACCAGAAAAAAATATAACCGTAGCCTGGTCTGACTCTGCCAGCAGAGGGGCTGGGAAGACATCCCTGCAGGATTTACCTGAGGAAGACAAGTAGCTGTAAGGGTGGGCTGAACATACATTTATTCAGGCAGATCTCAAAGTGATTCACCAGGCTAGATTCCATTAGGAAGGTCTTGTCTCAGACCAAGTGGAGGAACTATTTGACTTCCATTATCTCTAAAATATTTAGAGGCAGCACCAAGAAATTGAGGCAATTGGACTTCATCCAAAACAACCACATGAGCAACGAAATATTCCCAGTGAATGAATTGCATGACTAAGGATCAACATTATTACCAACACATCACCATTACTAAGTTAAAGTGCAGAGGCAGTGAGTTTTTGCAGGAAACATTTATTATTGTTTCAGAGGGACAATGGGACACATTTCTTTGTCTTATGTGTGGTTACCCAGTTACCTGTGTGCTTGTTATACCATATAACATGATTTCGAGCTAAGAGCCAGCCTGTGAGTTGTGTCTTCAACACATTACTGGCTAGACTAACACATCAGAAGTCCACCTGGACACTCACCAGCTAAGCAAGGCTAAGCACGCAGTTTCTTCTGCTACCAAAGGTCCTTAGGAGTAAAACAGGTATACTGGAGACAAGGCAGAGGGGGCATAGAATTATGCACAGTTGAAAGATGTTTTCGAGACACCCATCACACTGCACTAGGAGCCAGCACAAATATGAACATGACCCTCAGTCCTACCTGCCCTGCTCCATTCAGGTGTTTTCTCTAGTTCTTTAAATTCACAGTGGAAAATACAAATTGCTTTCAAATGATAGCTGGATTTGCTGCTCTTCATGACAATGAATTACAAGAAATTATACCCAGTAACTCTCGCACCTCCAAGGCACCCAGACTTACTGATCAGCTCTCTTCCATTCAAATAGAGAGACACATAGTCAGAGTCACATCCAAGTTGGTACCTACATCTAATTTAGTGAAGGACATCAAGATGATTTTGTCCTCTGGTACTGTTATATTCCAAGTGCACAGGCTAGAAGCAAGCAATAGTAAAGGCATGTTTCTGCATGGCTGGTCTTTGTCCTTGTCAGTCCCACCATGGGCTGGGAGTCTCACCAGAAGCTGAAAACCGATGTCACCAGCTCCACCTGTTAAATTTTATGATCTTCCCTCTCAGCATAAGCCATCAGGGGAGAGAGTTACCAACAGCAGAGGACTACCATGAATTTGATCAGCACCAGGTGGGGATTGATGCTTCCTTACAGCAGCAACAGTTTTGTGCCATGTGACTGACACACCATCAGCCCAGTCCATCTTGTTCCCCTGCCTCCTGAAGGAGCTGAAAGCTTCTTTGTGTGAGCTGAGATTGATATGGTCAGACCAAAGGATAAAGGGCACAACAGATCTCTAGCCAGTCACAGCCATTTCGTGGGAGTGGCTTGTACAGGATCTGTATTACAAATAGACTTTTTGTCTTACTACCTTCCCCCGCAGCATTATCCTGCCCAGCAAGCACAGCTGGAGATTTGCATTGCAGGGAACACACAGCTGCTGTCATCCAGACACTACTGAGAGTGGTGCCTGGTCTGGCAGTGGTTGGGGCTTCCAAGCCCAGGGAAACACTTTGGTGGGTGCCATGAGGAAAATTCAGTGTTTGACTACTACAGCCAAACTCCAGTTACCTGTTGTGAGGGACATTATGCTCCAGAGCCTGGGGGTACAGAATGAGACCATTTCCTCCAAAGAGCAGGATGCCTTGGGAACTGCATTCTGCTGGTGCAGGGAGGGGGCTTGGCACAGCAGCTAGAGAGAGAACAGAGTTATTGCAGTACAGGCACAACTGATTAAGCCACAGGCTACAGTACTGCAGTTGTTTCAAACACAAAGTGCTTGACATGCAGCTGAGAGATGCCTCAGATGAGAACACACGATTTCCATCTCAAAGTCCTACTTAAAAATCCCCAAACTTCCATTTTGTCCCACTGACACCGTGGACTCGCGTTTTTCCAGCCTGCTAAGAGCTGACATGGCTACTCCAAGCTCATTTTTAATGACACACCACTTTTATGTCGGCCTCCCCTTCGTCTCCTCTGAGCGTTTGGTCTGTGTGAATCCTGGCAGCTCTGCTTTGCAAGGGGTAATGCACCCACTTTGCAGCCACATGGCTTCTGGTCCTTGCAGTTGCTGCATCCAATTAAGAGACCTTCTTGTCTGCAGACGGTCCCCCTTTGAAAGCGTAATCATTAAGGATCCCTAGCAAAGCCATAATAGGTTGGGTATTAGTAGCAACACCTCAACTTTGATGGCTATGACAGAAATAACACTATCTCTTTAATAACTTGTATTAGCCCTGTAATTACCTGCACAGAAAAATGCAAGTGGCCAGTGGGGAGTCACTAGACCCGTGCCTAGCTATAAAAGGCACTTCCAATAAGCCAAGAAAACTGCGGCACTTAATTCCATACCCCTCTTCCCTTTCATGTTCAAAGTTGTATTTGATGAGGAGATAACCCCTGATCAATCCTGCACGCCGTTTCAGGAGCACAACAGTAGTTCAGATTTCAAGCTGGCAAGCACTCAAAGCAGACTTTTAATAGAGCAAGGCTAGTATGCAGCACTCAAGAGACACCTCACTGAGCTGGAAGGGCTGCATTCAGCCAGAAAAAGGGCAGCTTGAGTAGCCTTCTGCTTCTCCTTCAGGGGATGCAGGGGTCAGACTTGCTATTGTAACATGGTTTCTGAAGGGGGACTTATATGTTTAAACCTTTTGTTTTAGCATCCCAAATTAAAAGATAATACACCCTGCTGCTGATGCAGTGTCTGGAAACTGAACAGAAGTGCTGTGGGTGGAGAGGAGGGAGGCAGCAATAGCATGGCAATTTGGATTCCTATGGTGCTAAACAGGTAGGAGTGAAAAAGAACCCTCCCAGTACTCACACCTGCCCTGTGTCATGTACTGGGCAATGAAGTCACAAACACAGTCACCTGTGAGAAGATGCCTGATGAACTCTGGGCCATGGTGCTTCTCATGAAGGTATCCCATCCTGTGGCACAACCAACCACCCAGGACACCACACCTGTCAGAGTTCAGGTGGCACCAGTCCTCAGACACACAAAGGGGCCTCCAGAGTCACCTTGTCCAAACTTCACTGGGGAGGAATAGTGACATTTATTCCTCCAAACTCCTCTATCGTAGCCCATTGCCCAGTGGGACTGTCTGAGCAAGTCTGAGTGTGTGTAAGAGGAAGTGATCACAGCAACAAGCCTGATGGATTTCAAGACATGTTTGGACAATACTCTTCAGGCGCACAGTCTGACTCCTGGGGATGATCCTGTGCAGGGCTAAGAGTTGAACTCAGTGATCCCTGTGGGTCCCTTTCAACCTAGCTTATTCTGTGATTCTGTGACCTCAGGTGGGAGGTGGGAACTGCCTTCTTTACAACCTCCTGGTAGCATTGAACATGCCAGGTTCCCTTGCCCATGCCTGTAGTCCCACCACTGAAGGTCACCCCTGGCTTCAGCAGAGGTGGTGGCACTTGTGTGCAGAAATGGAGGTCCTGATGTTAGCAATGCCCAGGGCAGGTCTAGGCAAGGGGCCAATCATGCTTCAGTCTCCTGCTCACATCCATACTCCCACCTGTAAAAGACTGTTCCTGCCTTTGTTATCCTGAAGCTCCTTGTAAAGCCCTTACTCAGAGAAGTGCTGACAGCACTTTCAGTGCTGTTGCTTCCCTTTCTCCCCAGGAGAGAAGGTTTGTGGGTGGACAGGAACAGCCTGCTACCCAGCAGGAGCCAGGGCAGACGAGCTGTTACCTTGCACACTGTCAGCAAAGCCAGTGCACAGCACAGAGCCCCACACCCTGCCCTCAGCACCATGCTACGGGTCTGGCTGTCAGTGAGGGGCAGCTCCACCTCCTGCAGGACAGGAGCCAGTGCTGCCACCTTGTAAGGATGGCTCTGCTTCCACAGGCTCCAATATGCACACATGAATATGCACAGCATCAAAGTGCAACCTTCCCTAACGTGCTCCAAGGTCCTATGCTGCAGGAAAATGCTGATCTGCACATCCCTACAGGGGCTGGCCCTCTGACAAGCAGAGGAGACCCGATGAGCAAAGGGTACTTGAATATTCCATATGGCAGGAGTCACCTTCTCTTGCATTTCTCTTTCTGAAAGGAAGTGTCTCCTTTCCCTTATCCATTACTCTGTTCCTGCAACTGTGACCAGAAGACTCTGCCATTTGACTCTCCCTCAGACACCTTGCCCCAGCCACCAGTCAGACGCAGTGTCCCAGTACAGAAGTCTTCATCCCTTAACCTCATCCCCTGCAGAGGAAATGGTACACAAACGAGTGCAGGAACCACATCCTTCCAGTAACCTTTCTGATTTACAGGCACAAACTGCCTTCAAGTCATACTGTTCTGATAATTCTCTTCCCAAAACATCATAGTCCCCTGTGGGTGTTTATAAAATGACAATACAAACCGAAGTTAGCCACATTAAATTGAATATATACATGCCAAATTGAGAGGAAGGGATCAGGAAGACTGAATGTTAACATAAGCACATGGATGCTTGGGAAGAGGACAAGGAGGTGGAACAGCCTAGCAGAGACAAGGAGACTGGATTGCCTCTATCCATCTCACATACTGTGGGAATGATTCTGTGTTTGTGAGAAACTCTTTACATCTTTCTCCCCAAAGACCAGTGTTTATCAGATCAAAGGAGTTATGTAGGACATGCAAAACTCAAAAGATTCAGCTCAGTTCAATCCAGAGTCATATTGGTTTGCTTTTCCTTGATATTGGGAGAAAAATGGATCATAGTTCTCCTTGGCAGCTTCAATGGGGCACTGGCAGTGCCCAGTCTTCAGAGGAGCAAAGTAGGGACCCCTGAATTTTCCTCAGATGTTGTCAAGCCCAGTTCACACCTGGAGATATATATCTGTTTAACCACAGGGTACAGGCACATAGGCAGCCCTCAAGCAGCCTTCCTCATGCTGCCCTGCCAGGATGTCTGAGCTCAGAAACGAACATTTCTTTGGTCTTATTTCCCTTATTCTTTCCGTTAGGGGCAAACCGTAAGGCTATCGCTGACCAAGCCAGTGTTTTGAGACATGACAGTGACAGAAGGTTATTCTGTGTTGGCTGATCTGCCATCTGATGGTCACAGACAGTCATGGCCTGTATGATGGCTGTAACCCATCATATCTCTACACAATACAAGAAATTGCCTTTGTGAAGACTTGTGCCACTTCCTTAACTCTGACACCCTCCAGTTGCCTCCAGAGGCTTTGCTTTTGCCTGCAGGAGTACTCAGAGTGAGCAGGTCCTAATCCAGGTGTTAATGCTTCTTGGTGGGCAGTACCCTCGCAGCCCACTGCTGGGTGTTAGCCCAGGGCTATGCCAGGGGGAAGCCAATGGCTTTCCAGCAGCTGGTGGAGAAGGAAACAATTGTAGGAGAGCAACACAAATGCACACAGGAATCTCACAAAGCAAGCACAGGCATAGCCAGAGAACAAACCCTCAGGGATAAGCTTCTGGGACAATTAATCAAAGCCTAGGACAAGAATTAACCCAATTGTGATAAGAAGTAAAGGCATAACTGAGGGGACACAGAATCTGAAACCCTACAGTCTGGTCCTGCCCTGAGATCTGGGGCTGGCCTTCAGAAACAGGACTTTTGGCCAGGCTGATTTCACATTAGCAGCAATGCAGAAGTTTCCTGACCTCCAGCTGGAAAAACTGGAGTTTCTTTCAAATGGATAGATAGGTTTCTTGTTTCATCTGCTATCCATCAAGCCACTGTTCATATTTGGGAAGCACAGAGCTGCCAGGAGAGGTGCCAGCAGATTTCACTGCAGCCAGCTTGGTACGGGGAAGAAGATAATTTATTCTTCACCTTGGGACTCACAGAGCCCTCCATTTTTGACCTTGAAACATCAAGCTCAGCCCTTGTTACCTGCAGTCTGGGATCCTAGAGGGGATAGGAGAAGCCTTAAAAACAACGGGAACTGATTGCTAAGTCATTTTGGCCCCATAGATCCTCTTTTCTAATTTTGTTTTCAGTCCATTTAAGGAGATGAGCAGAGGCCTAGATCCGAGGGCTTTATGATGATTTTAAGCAGCTACATGTAGTTTGAATTAACACTAGACAAGCATATGCCCACTATGGATTTTCTGCATATTTTATAAGCAATATAATGTCACAGTTAAACTCAGAGCAATCAACTCCAGCAGAGTCAAAACAACATTCAGTACTTCTTTTAGCAATTAGGTAGATAGACCCACTATCAGAGCAGTTACCCAATAAATAGATGAGCAGTAGATCCCATCTTTAGCAAACTGGATCTTTAGCCCTACTCTAGGGATTGCAGCAAGTGCTCTAGGGTGTAGGGTGGGACACTTTTGCACTCAGTGAGACATGCATTGGGTTCATTGATCTCTCTGATACCTGTCATTGTGAGAAATACTCACAGGAGTGGAAACTTGCCCGGGTTTCATCTGTCTGTGTTTTCCGTCACCATCTCTCACAGCACAGTGTGAAACACAGCAGTGAGCTCATTTTGAGATCTTTGCAATTAGGGCAGATGAAAGCTCTGCTGAATTATTGCCAGAACAGGACAAAACCCAGATCTGAAGCAGCTGCCCTTTCTCTCCAGCCTACCTTCTCTCGAGTGTCCAAGAAACCCCAGTACTCAAACAAGAACTTTGAAACCTATTTATCACTGATTTCTAGTAGATTTATAGGGTTTTGTTTTGGTTTTTTAACACCGCTTCTCTATGAGATTGCACCCCTTCAGGAAAGTCCAACTGGTGCAAATTACTACCACGCTATTTCACCCACGCAGCCTTTGGAGATGGCAAGTCCAGGCAGCCTGGCAGGCACATACTTTATTACGGCTCTCTGCCCCTGAAGTGTGGCCCTAAGCATTTTGAATCAAGATATCAAGGGTTCAACATGAGCCTTTGCTTCAATGTTTTCTAGTAAATCAAGATTTATTTTATTTTCCCACTCAGGGAAACCCTTACTTTCATTTTATAATCACTTTCAGCCATGAGTAACAGACCCACTAACGGTTCAGCTCAGCTTTAATCCCCAAGAGGCTGTTTACTGGAAATGGAAATTTCCCACACTTCCCAGCAAAGTCTGACACCAGGATTGCCTGGCAATGCAAATGCGGCAGTAATGGGAACAGAGGAACAGCACTGGCAGCATAACAGTGGAGAGTAAAAGCACTGACTAGTTTTGCACAGAATAGAGAAACAAGGAGGTTCCTCATTATCAAGGTTAATCTTGCGCATTGAAATTTTTATACCGTAGCAACTTTCTCATTATTCAACATTAGTCCTCAAAAATGATGCTCGAATTGAGCAAGAAACAGATGTGAAGATGACTGGTCTGCAATTACATTATAATGGATTATAAAAGGGCTGGCAAAGGGGCCACTTATATCATTGTCCCTGCCCATTAAGAGGTCTTTAGCATGGCCTGTGAAGCTGGTCTTGCATTAAAAGTACAGAAGACAACGTGACTGCTGAGTGATGAGATAGTTGCCAGGGCTGCTTTTACCAGGAAGCTGCAGTACTTCTCCTCCTGCCTCAGATATGCTTCTCTGGATGCTTCCTTAGGTCAGCAGGGTCTTTTAAAGACAAAACCATATAGAATTAGAGATTTAGATGTTTAGAAAACCATGGTAGCATGGGGATTTCCACACCCTGATCTCTGCCCCAGGGCTGCCCACATAGCACAGAGCTTCCCGGGCTTTGGAGAGAACAATGCAGAGACACAACAGGAGCAAGCAGGGCACTGGGGGTGCACTTCAGCCCCATGGCTCTGGAGTGACACATCCCATGGACCTGACTGTGGCAGAGCACTGGCCTCGCTCAGCACTGCAGAGGCCATTTCCCTCC